TAAAATGCCGAGATGTCCGTTAAAAAGGGCCAGAGAAGCGAAATAAACCCGACGTAGTAGCCACTACGGCAAAACATCTCGACTCGCGTGATCAGATTTCACGCTACGGCTGGATGCAACCGACGTACACGCGCACTATCTCGTTTTGGGGGAAATTTACTTCCGGCAGCCGTATCAGCGCCAGCCGAAGCGATTTGCTTAAACTCGCTAATGACTCTATATAGTATTCTTAATTTGGTCATTGCTACTTGGGTTATTTAAGGTGGACCTTTCTGGGTGAGCAACCTATTAAGGTTTGTCTTTCTCAACGATCAAAGATTTCAATTTTTTTAATATAAAATGCCTATTGATAGACTGTTGTTCTCTTATTACTTTGAGTGCGCTATTTATTCCACTCAGGTGTCCCACTTTTGTTGATTATATTTTAGGGCGCGATGACCGAAATGATGGAAGGGGTTTAATGGGACCTCCTGGCCCTCCTGGAAAACCCGGACAAATGGGACCAAAAGGTAAGCTTATACTAGTAGAGGGGGCGCAGTGGCCTCATGGTTAGTGGGCTGGATTCTGGGTCGAGCTGTGCGGGTTGAAACGCTGGCTGGTGTCGTTGCTTTGCATTCTTGGGCAAGACTGCTTACTCTCTGACTGCCTCTCTCCATCTTGGTGTATAATTGGGTGCTGGCCAGGTTAATGATAGGGGGTAATCCTGCGATGAACTACCATCTCACCCATGAAAGTAGTTAGAAAACTGCCAGTATTTAAAGGAATATAATCATTATGGTAAAATAAGATAAGAAATAGATTTTAACATACTTACATGTACAGTAATGTTGGCCGTCTAGTTTCCTTTTCTATATGTCTATTTCATGAGAATGTCAAGAGTGCCCAGGTGTAATTAAGATCGAGAAAAGTGACGAGAAACGACCGAGAAATAGGTATTGATCCAGATTTGCGTGTGTCTCTCTGATGGAAAGAGAATATTATGCCTGAAGATGCACAGAAACCACTGAGCCCCTGGCCTTGGAGGCCAGAGTTACAGCAAATAATGTTAGAAAAACATCTACTTATAGCAAATGAACACTACAGTATAAGGCGGGAATCGTTTTTGACAGCTACTTCATGACTCGCCGGATTTACTTTTTTTTTTCGTATTAGTCCGCTTACAGAGACAACAAGCGATTCTCATCATGTCATTGACTACAACCACCAGATCGAGTCCCTCGCTCTTTCCTCTCCTCAAGCCTATTACGACCATTACTATATATGTCTTGATTTCAGTATGGTTTAGCTCCTCATCTTCATGCTGGGTTTCGCGTTTCATTCCATGCAATCTTGGCCCTCTGGTATGAAGCAGTTAGTTTTCATTTCATTGCAGGAGAGGTTGGGAAGCCTGGTTCCAGTGTTTCTGTCCCAGGTCCCCCTGATCGCGGAGCTGTAGGAGCACAGGGAGCGAAAGGCGAGAAAGGACAAACTGGGATGTCTGGGGCCAAGTATGTTCGGTGGGGAAGGACCACTTGTCCCAGTGGCGCTGAAATTGTTTACAAAGGTACATCACGTGATCAGCTTATGAATTGGCTTTTCTAAAGACCTTTTAATTATCAACAATAATAACAAGATATTAACAAAACAAAACGAAAATAGTTACAATGCTTACAATTACCACTTCTAACAGAAAAAAAGAAAACAAAAAAGTAAACATAATTTAGAAGAGATTGGCTGCGGTACATTACCGAACTCTACAATTCTATCTTGTTGGAATAAAGTTAATTTAAAGGAAGCTATCAGGCCTTAAAATTTTAACAAAAAAAACAAGAGCAAAAATAGAGGAGAAAAAACTGTAAGGTACCTATTCTAATTAAAATTAATAAACAATTGTTTTTCTTATGTTCTAAAACGCGTGAAATGTAAACGGAATGGGCTTGTTGCTTGCCGCTCAAAAATAATCATCAAAAATGTTGCTCACGCTGTCAGTAGGGGATGTATTTCCTTCTGGACGCAAACTTAGGTGGCGGGACATAGGATAGGTAATCAGTCAGTTGAACTCAAATACAAAATCACGTCTCCATTATTCACATAAAAAAAAAAGATTAAGACCAATTTATTAAAAGATCACTGAGGCTTTGTATCAGATACACGTATAGTAGGAAAAAGTAGAAGACTAGAAAAAAAAAAGGGTCGCACATTTTTTTAGAATAATCATAACTTTTTTATCTATTAGGTATAATTGGTGGCGATGGTTACAATCACCAAGGTGGTGGAGTAAATTATCTTTGCCTTCCAACTAATCCAAAATACGACAAGTACAAAGATGGATGGCAGGACTCGGGATACGTGTATGGCACTGAGTATGAAATCAATACTTTTAACCCATTTAAGAAAAACCTCCATGACCACGAGGCACCCTGCGTCGTTTGCTTCGTTAAGTCACGTGGCTCAATGCTTATGATGCCCGCACGGAATGATTGTCCATCTGGCTGGACCGAGGAGTATCATGGGTACCTGATGACTGAATACTACAACCACAAGAAGCAACGTGACTACATTTGTGTTGACGAAGATTCAGAGCATGTCCCCGGTAGTCAAACTAATAAGAATGGCGCGTTACTGTACCCGGTGCAAGGAGCTTGTGGCGCTCTTCCGTGTCTTCCATATGTCAACGGAAGGGAGTTGACCTGTGCTGTTTGTACCAAGTGACGACACTGAGGGGTTACCAGAAACAAAAAATCGTGCAGAATCGAGACTTGGTAGACTGATTCGTAGACCATGTAGACTCTCTTGATTTAAAATGACGTAAAACTAAAAGAAACTATAGATATTTTAGACCGGTTAATGTAATCGACATGGCTAAACTGACGACATGTATGGATATAGAGGGAACGGACGAAAACGAAATTAAATAATTGGTTACTCAACAATACTTTTAGTGGTTTTTCGTTTCAACATACAGATTTAAATCCATCTGGTTCAAAGGTTCTT